ACTGAAACAGTATTGTATTAACAACTATGATGGTACATGCTGGGTGTTTGTAGTGCACACCTGTAACCTCAGCACGTAGGGAACTGAGGCGGGAGGCTGGCTTTGAGTTCAAGGCCAGCCTGTACTAAATAGTGAGACCCTGTCTCAAGAAAAAAACAAAACACAACACAACACAACACAACACAAAACCAACAATTGTAATGCTACAACAAAGTGTACTGGAATTGAACATTTCAGTAAATTGATGGTGGATAATGACACTGCATTTCTCATGTTATAATGGAATTTACAGAAAAACAGGAAAGAAACTAGAACGATCCATGTAACAATGGGTTCAAGATGGGAGAAAACATTTGTTTTTATGTAGATGCAAATGGTTACTGATATAAATATGTATAAGCATATATATATATATACATGTAGTATGATTGGAATATATGTCTACATTTCTCCATTCTTAGGCTGAGACAACCTCCAAGCACTGACATCTTAGCAAGCAACAAGCAACCTAAGACCCAGAACTTGGTTTCTTGTACTGTTATCCAATAAAGGGGTATTCTAGGACAGTGGCCAGAAATACCCTCATAAACTGATACCAGAAAGTATGGAAATCATAATAAAACTCTGCAACAAAATTCGAGCAATCCCCAAGGGGATTTGACCAATAGGAGCAGGCCATCAGGACAGAGGAATCTGCTGAAGAAGTTCTCAAAGGCTAAAATGAGGGCAATATGAGCACAAAATAAAGTGGCATATTGAATTATAACCTAAAAATAAAAGTTTCTTATATATAATATAAATCCATATTGATATGGATAAATTATTGAATGAATAGGAGACAAGTCTATGTAACAGGAGAAATCCAAATCAACTAGGTAGACACTCTGCTCTCCTCTAGGTGAAGCATAACACTCCACTCCTTAAGTATGAATTGTGCCTGGTAACTTCTTTCAGAAAAGTCCTATGTGGAACAGTTAGAGGGAGGGATAACTTTAGTGGACAAGCTTGACAATCCTACCTCAGCCAGCTGATCAAGGTCAACATCAACAGAAGTAAACCCTGGTGACACCATCTATCCTTAATACGATGTGATGGAAGTGATCCTCTACATCTAGGGCCTTCTTTCTCATTTTTAAAATCCACAAGGTCAGTCTAATCTTGGAGAAAGTGTTAGAAAGGTTCCAGGAGGAGGAAAGAATGGAGCAGGATTGAATAATAAATACTAAATTATAGCTAGATATGAGTAGGATGTTCTGGTAGGCTACTGCACACAAGGGTGACTATAGATAATAATATACTGTTTATTTCAAAAAGCTAGAAGAAAGGATTTTGAATTTTGTATCAAAAATAATAAATGTTTGAAGATATATATATATATCCTTAACTTGATTTAAACATTACACAATATATAGATTATACATGTATCAAAACATCACATTAGGTTATCTCCTAAATATGTACAATTTTGTGATTTTATGTATTAAATTAAAAAGAAGAAGAAGAAGAAGAATCTAGGAGATATCAATGGTTCAGTGTAAAGTGACCTCCTGGATGGAACCTTGGAACAGAAAAAAAACATTAAGGGAAAAATGAATAAATCTGAAGAGTATGGCCTTTAACAGCAACATCTCAACATGGGTTTATTAAGTCTAACAAATATATTAATAGAAAATGTTAATGGGGAAACGATGTGAGATGCATGGGAATTTTCTGTATTATTTTCAAATTTTCTCTGTAACTCTGATATTAGCCTAAAAATAAAGTTTACTAGAATAACTTTTATTTTAACACAAATAAACAACTCTTGTCTGCCTCCCCAGTTCCTCCTCACGCGTGCAGACTGGGGTAAAGGCGGGCTTGGCACTCCCGGGAAGCAAGAAGGAGCCAGGCTTCAGGATTCTAACTTCAGCCGGGTCTGAGTAGCTCTGTCCGCACGCAGCCCGCTCTCCACATTGCAGGGCTTGTGGACTCAAAGAGAAGGCAGTTCCCACGGATGGCTGACAGGGTGTTGTCTGCCCATCGCGGTCTGCTGTAGTCCCAGCCAAGGTTTCTGACCTGCCGGCTCCTGGCTGGACTCTTCACGGTCAGTGTTTCACATCACGCCTGGGTCTGACTTCTGGTCTGGCGGGCTCTCACCTCTGAACTCCCCAGCTCTACTGGGAGTTAGTCTAGGGCAGTGCAGACTCAGCACTCTACCTGACCTACCGGGGTCCTGACACAAACAAAAGGCAAGGGTGCACTCAAAGGTTAGGGCCTCACTGAGCAAAACAGGGACAAAGGAAGTTTCCCCCTGTGTCCCTAGTTCAAAGCCACAGTTGGGAAGTTGTGCGCTTTCCTAGTTTCCTAGGGCGATCAGAGGGAGGGAGCCAGGCACCAGCCTCCTAGAAGCAGAGCCCATAGCTGCAGGGATTTGCAGGCAGAGAGAGTTTTCCGTGTTGGAGCAGAATCAAGACTTGGTGACTGCAGAAATTTTGGAGATGGAGAATGCAACTTTAATGTGTGGGTTCCCAAACTCGGACAATAGCCAAAGAACTGGAGGAACTCCCAAGTTTTTGTAGCAAGAAAATCACCGGAGCTTTAAAGTGGGATATACCGGCTGGCAGAGAGTGAGCTTGGCTAGGTGCGTGCGCTCTGGAAAGAGGGGGCTGGTAAGAAAGGGGGCTCCCTAATGAAAGGGAAGATGGGGGCAGAATCCTACACCCTACTCAAAGGCGCCAGAGGGAGATGGTAAACAGCCTAGAACCGATGTCATCTCTCCCAAAAGGTGCCAAAATCCTCGGGTGAGGTGTCGGACCAAAGTCAGCCACCTCTGCGCTGGCCGCGCCCTAGCCTCTCCAGTTTTACGCACGGGCTTGGCTGGCCTTCTGGCTCTGGGAGGAAGGCAAAGGAACTCCAGTCACCTCTCTCGAGGACAGGACTTCCACTACACCTACAAAGCTTTATAGCAAGAGCACCCAAGGGTAGAAGAAGTCAGCAGTTAAGCTCTGCATCCAGAGTGAGGTATAGGTTGGAATGACCACGGCTGGCCCGGGAGAGGGGCGCGCAGCCTGGCTGGCGGGTGGCAAGACCTCTGAGTTAATGTATAATTGTGAGCAGATGGCAGGGGCTGGCGGCAGCCTGAGGCCTGGGCCCAGCTAATGAGGGACAATTAGCCCCAAACCCGGTGGGGGCAGTGGAGAGAGTCAGACAGTGAAGGCAGATATTTGCTCCTCAAACAGTCTGGTGCGCTGGGTAGAGGGCTAAGAGACTGAGCCCTTGGGCTTGCTAGGCCCCCCGCCAGGGCCCTTTTCCCCCATTCCCCTCCCCCCATCACCTCTGGGTCGAATGCTTTTGTTTATTCAGACCCAAGAGCCAGTCGTAAAGGCGGAGGGAGAGGGTAGTTTATGGGGGAAATCGCTGCCACCACCATCTGCCAGGGCTTGTCTTTTCTCCCCCTGGCCACCCCTATCTCCACCCTCAAGCAGCTGTCTATGAGAATAGCTGGTCAAGACATGAGGCTTGAGCCCCTAGAGGCAGTGGAGAGGGATGAGGCTGAAAAGGGGCACTAAGAGCAGCGGTATCCCATGGCTTTCTGGGGACCTCCTTTCACCAAGGCATGGTTAAATAGGTGAGCAGCATTCTGCAGCTGCCCTGAGATGGAGTGGGCTCTGCTTGCTCTGGTGCGGGTGCTGTCCTGTCCCCTGGTGCTGAAACCACCTGCCTGGTCTCCCTTGTCCTCCGGGACTCCAGACCAGCCTGAAGATGCTGAAGGAGACTAGAAGAAAAGGGGAATATGTGTCAAATAAAGTAGAAAACCCACCTCTGTGATACATTTGTCCCTTGAGAACAGCTCCATACTCCAATATTAAGTTAAACGTATAACACTACTCCCAACCCCAAAACGCAAAGCATTTACTAGGGAGGTGCAGTCTTCCTACCTCTGACTTTTGGTCTAGTTTTATCTTATACTCTGTTTACCTGGCTTCTATGATGGAGTCACATAATCAAAGGTTTGGAATGAACCTAAAGTTTCTTTCCATGTTGGTCCCTTCACATCCCACAAGGATCTGTTCAAGACTATGATAGCAAAATGCCTTTAAGCGCTGAAGGCTATGTTCATTTCTAGTGAGCCACTCTGAAGAGACAACCTACCCCTCTACTGCTGCCCTCACCCCCACAATGACCCAGATAGTCTATGGTGGCTTTTGTGAGAACAGCACTGTCATTAATGATCTGAGAGTGTAAAAGCACCAAATTCCTAGTGGAATGGAGTCTGCTAATATCTAGAGAAGGAAGAAGGAAAAACAGGTTGCATGTCTCCTTGTAAGCACCCCAAATGTACCTTTAACTACCCCTAGGGGCTCATTTCCAAGAGCACTTTCATTGTCAGTGTTCTGAAGTCTAGGACCCACTTTTTTCCAGGCAAGAACACATCCTTCATGTCACCCCAGCCAAGCAGCCAATAGAACTGGTAAAGAGCTCTGATGCCATGTGTCCGTTCACTTTCCTTTCAGAGTTTTAGGAGTCAATTCACTATTTAAGATTTAAATACCCATTTATATTTTATGGTACTATACATATAACCCAGGGGATGACTCAAAAGCCCAGGCATAATGTCTTCTGTCTGTGAAGCTATGTCAGTGCTCTGGGAAGGCTCATTTGTACTTCTTTGCATTCAAAAATTTGGGAACCCAGCCTGAAGCTTCCCATCTTTTAAGGTCCTCATGTCCTCCAAAGTACTGGCCCCTGCAGGGTACATTCTGGATCCAGGAGCCTCATGAGAATGACTCTACCTGCTTCGTTCAGGTTGTGAGGTGGACACAAGGTGGGTTCTGAGGACTACCTGCAGAAGGACACAGTAGATCATTGGCTGAGGTTTGCCCTGCCTAGGGCCAGTGTCAGTCAGCTCCATGCACACCTCCCTCCTCCTCTCTCCTCTGCTCATGGCCTGTGACATCACTGGCTGCTCCCAGAAAGCTGCCCTCTGCTCCTGAGCACAGCCTTCTATAGCACTAGACCCCCTGGCAGGACTGAAGCAGGAACAGAGTGGAAGCTGTTACCAGGACCAGCACCCCTGGAACCTAAAGGAGTCTCAGGAGCCCAGCACAGGACACTGAGACCTTCCACTGAAGCTCCCACCTCATTTCCTTTACAGGTAGCTCACCTGCAGGCTTATTGTCTGCTCTGTCTCCCATGCTGTCTCCATGTCTTTGTGTGGCCAAGCCCAACTATCTCTCTCTGGCTTTGCAGCTCCCCTCATCTCCCCTTTCAGCCCCCTCTTTTGCTTTCTCACCTCAAGAGTACCAGTTTTTTTTTTTTTTGAGACTATGTAGTGTGGCTCTTGCAACTAGAGTTTCTGTTTGTGAGTTGGGTCATGATTCTTTTTGTTTTAGAGATTGTTCAGGATTAACTACTGAACTTGTGCTTCCCTATCTCATGATACCCAGGACTCCAGGTCACTTAGGAGAATATAGTCCTAGCAAAGATTCAGGATTTGGCTGATATTCTGGGCTTCTACTCCCATCCTGATGTAGTCCTTTATGGTCCCAGCTTGACTCTTCTCTCTCCACTGCTTTGATGTCAACTACACAAACACAAAGCAGGTTTGGCTAAAAAGATTCCCATCATTAGAAGCCAGAATTTTTTTACTCTAAAGCTTGAGTTTCACTTCTGGGTAGCCCCAGACTAGTGGGAACTCCATTCTGTGCCAATTTTTTAAAAAACCTCTGCCTTCCTTCCCCATTTTCTGGGCAGAGCTCGATGGGAAATGTCTTTCTCTGCCCAGAAAAAAAAAAAAAAAACAAGTAAAATCCAGTTTAGCTCCTGGATTTACACAGTAGACTGTGGATTCCATATTATAATACATTGTTGTTTCGCCCCTGTTAATTTCCCTGCCAGACTGAATTATATTCTCATGAAGAGCAAAGACCTTGTCCCTTTTCTATCTTACTCTCTTCATTCCAAACAACCAACAACGTGTATATGCGGAATGCCTTATTCAGTAAATAGTTGCAGATGAGTCAACTGAACCAAAACAGCATGATTGTTATGGGAAAGTTCCATGTATATGCTGTCCCCTGTGGTCTAGAAATTATAAGAGGCAGGTTCAACTCACTAATTGTTGATGAAAGCGAGGAAACATATGAACTGTGTCTGTCGCTACTCAAAGACCATTTTGTACTCAAGATGGCTTCTGTGTTGGTCATCAGATAACCCTGTCTTCTTCTTGTTTCCTCCCTTCAGTATATCTTCAAGAAATGTTACATGGATGAATGTCTGATCCCAGAAAGGTGGTCTCTGAAAACGAAGCTTCACTGTATTATCTAAAATTCTTCAGAGAACAAGTCCACCCAGTTAGAAGATCCTAAGAGGTATGTCTTCTAGAAGAGCCAGCCCTTGGGGCTTGTTCATTTTTACTTCCAGTATGTGGGATCAGAGCCCTGTGATGTGGGTGGTAGAGCTGAGCTTGACGTTTCCCCCCAGGCCTTCCTGGGGAGTATAAAAACAAAATAAGACAAAGCAAAACAACAAACAAACAAAAACCTCACAGGAACAAGCCCTTCACCTGAAGTGCTCAGACGGAAGCATTTAGCTGGTGCTTTGGAGTCCAGGACTGCCTGATGGTAAAGATAAAGCCCTGAACTTGGGAAGCTGGGGTCTCTGGCTCAAGTGTGTCAGCCAGAGGTTGAAAAGGCTTATGAGTGGTCAGAGGTATGCCTGTTTGGAAAAAGGAAATTCCCATGCTTGGGGAAGCATTATCTATTTCCGCCTCTCTTTCTGTAATGGTTGTGTGGAAATGAGGTCCTTTCCATCCTCCCACCCCCCTTTTCAGGCTATCCAGAGATCCAGGCTTCAGGTAGCCTTGTGATGTAGTAAAAGGGTTTAAAGTAAAGAAAATTCTAATGTTCTAATTTTAGCCAATCTGTTGGTAAATTTTAGAAACCAACTGTCTACCACAAAGCATTATGATTTCACAAGAAATCTTCAAGCAAGATATTGTACCCAAATAATCCCTATTACTGCAGACCTAGCCCCAAACTGGAGTAGGTTTGCTTAGAAGAAACTCCCCCTCTCTCATCTTTCCCCAGTTGGCTTCCTGTCCTTCTGGGAGGACACTCAGCTCAAAGTATGCAGCAGGATGGTAAGAAGCTTGGGAGAAACAGGTATAACAAGGAGGAATGTGGAGACAGGGAGCTATTTCAGGCCATTGCTTCCATTAATGCAGTTTCAAGGAGAATGTTTTTCCAACCACCTCCTCTGCTTTACCATGCTCCCCTTAGATCAAGATGGTTGGCACTTATCACCAAAGAGCAAAGACTCACACATAAGCTACTTCCCAAAGAAAGTGGCATATTTCGAGGACCCTGGGGGTGAGGAGGGGGCAGATTCCTGGAGGAAGACTTCATCTATGGTGGGAATCCAGTCTGGTGGGATCTGAGTGACCCTCTGCAAAGTTGGGTGGGGGGGCTGGGGAGAGACAGTGTCTGGGTGCTTTGTTCCCATTCCCAGGGATCAGCAGCATGAATCAGCTGGGGGGACTCTTTGTGAATGGTCGACCTCTGCCTCTGAACACCCGGCAGCAGATTGTGCAGCTAGCAGTCAGTGGGATGCGGCCCTGTGACATCTCACGAAGCCTTAAGGTAGTGCCAAGACTTTTACCCAGAGAGAAGGGGGCTCTCTAAAGGCTAGAGTATAGGGAATTTGTGGGCGTGGGCTACCTCCTAGAAGACCTTGAAGGTTGTGATGGGGAGCTTTAGGTGCCTAAAGGTAAGACTGGACTCTCAGCTTCATAGCTTGGTCCAATAAAATTGTTTCACTTTGTAGCATCCCTCTTTCCCAGGGACACCTGTCCTTGCTTCTTACCTTTTCTAGGTATCTAATGGCTGTGTGAGCAAGATCCTAGGGCGTTACTACCGTACAGGTGTGTTGGAACCCAAAGGTACTGGGGGAAGCAAGCCACGTTTGGCGACACCCACTGTGGTAGCTCGAATTGCCCAGCTGAAAGATGAGTGTCCTGCCCTCTTTGCCTGGGAAATCCAACGCAAGCTTTGTGATGAAGGGCTTTGTACTCAGGACCAGACTCCCAGTGTAAGTGCTCTTCCCTGAATCATGACTGGCAAAATAGGTTGCCTGGAAAGAACAAAATCTCTTTTAGCTTGGCTGAGGGGTGGGTATCTGTAGTCTTTTAATTCATAAGGGTTCTCTTCTGAAAAATGGTGGTGGTAAGAGGGGAGAGAAGAAGAAAGCATGGGGAGAGAGGAGGCTACACCTGAGAGAATGATGTGACGGTTAAAACAGAAGGGGAAAAAGGATATGTGGGGGGATGGTCAGGGTGCAATGCTGGGTCTTTATATAAATTTTCCATTCAATGCCCTAACACATGTAGGTCTCCTCCATTAATCGAGTTCTGAGAGCACTGCAGGAAGACCAGAGACTGCAATGGACACAACTTAGGTCATCAGGTGGGTCTTAGAGTTGCCCCCAGAGGCAGTTAGAGCCAAAACTTCAGCATTTTATAGCCCTCAAAGCACTTTCTTGTTCTTTGGATCACTCTTCCAACTATCCAGTCAGAAGAGCCTATCAAGGACCCTTATTTTGTGCTGGAATAATAAAACTGAGGTTCAGGGAAGTGAATGACTTACCCAAGGTCACCAGCTAACTGTTGACAAGTCTTAAAACACAACCTAGGTCTCCTAACTCCTTGATTCAAGGGTCTGCTAAGAAAGCAACAAGACTGGGTGTTTCACACCCTACCTATGCTTCATGTGTACTTTCTCAGTGTATCCTTCATGTTCTATGGGACTGGGCAGACTTGGACCAACCCTGATGCTGTTTCCCCTAAATATTCCTGGATACTCAAGCACAATTCTCATCAAGGACTTCTCCCTCAACCTTCAAGTAATTGAATGCTCTACTAGTTTAGCTCCTATTAGCTCATGCTGCTGTTGTCTAGCCTCAGCCCCAGGAACTCAGGGATCTCATATGCCAGGGGAATCACCATTGAAAACTTCCTCAAGACATTGTCCTTCTTTGCAGCTATTTTGGCTCCAGCACTTCCCAGTCCTTACAGTGCCTCGGAGCTACCCCGGGGTCCCCACCCGGGGACCAGTCACCGGAATCGGACTATCTTCTCCCCAGGCCAAGCTGAGGCACTAGAGAAAGGTGTTGCACTGGGGTGGGTGGTGGGACAGTCTTTGGTGCGACAGGGTGGCAGCAGCCCTGAGGCCATGGGCAAAGGCAGAGAGGTGTGGGCCCTGGTTGGCTTTTGGAAGGAAAGAAGTGTAGGTGGTGACAGGTGGCGAGTGGGGTCTGATAGGGAGAGAGAACTATGTCCTTTTACTTGCCTGTGCCCTTGCTGTGTGAGCCTCCATCTTTACAGAGTTCCAGCGTGGACAGTATCCTGATTCAGTGGCCCGTGGGAAGCTGGCTGCTGCCACCTCTTTGCCTGAGGACACAGTGAGGGTAAGCTCTGTGACATGGTGTTCACAAATCTCAAGAAAAATGAAGATGGAAACAAATTTATTTGGAGCAAAGAGAAAAATCAGAGATGAGAGCCTCTTGTTCCCCTTCTGCTGATTGCTCTCTTCTCTTTCCTAGCCTTTGAGTTGAGGAAAGGCAGAGAGCAAAGGCAGAGAGCAGAGGGGAGACATCAGGTCTGAGGAAGGTTCTAGGCAAGGAAAGTGTGCTGAAAGCAGAGTTGTCAGGTGACAGAAAGCAGTCAGCTATCTGGTCCCTGTTCTTCTCAGGTCTGGTTTTCAAACAGAAGAGCCAAATGGCGACGGCAAGAGAAGCTGAAGTGGGAAATGCAGCCGCCAGGTGATTTCTGTACACATCCCATTTATCCATTCACTCATCCATCCACCCATCCATCCATCCACCCACCTGACATTTACACAGAAACTCTTATGTCCCAGACACCGTACTATTCTGCTTATAAGAGTTGTACTGTCTCTAGTACATCTCTGAGTTTTAATCATTGTTTCTAATTTCTCAATGCGCCACTCTGGGAAGGAAGGCAGTTTAGGGTTTTGATACCCACCACCCCCTACCTTATCTTCCCTGCTTTTTACCATATACCTTCTGCTCCCAATACAAATTCCTTCTTCTGAGTGGATCCACTTTCACCTTGTAGGTACTTCTCAGGGTCTGACTGCATTAAGGGTTTCCTCAGGAATCACCTCTACACAGGTACTTGGGAATTGGCAGTGTGGGAAGCCTGAAGGGTTCATTGTTTCTCCCATTTTTGGTGAGGGCTGAGCAAAGATCTGTAACTCCCCAAGATCCCCATAATGTGTCATCTGGGAATTCCTTAGTCTATTATGTGAATGGCACCCTCTGGAGTTGTGTGGGATTCAGTTTGCGGGGCAGGAGGTCTAAACAAAAAGCCTCACTGGCAGCTGAAGTTCTCCTCTTGCTTTTTCTAGCAGTCCCCTGGCAGTGTGTCCACTGCAGCCCATCCTGCCCTGGACTTGTTGGGTCCTTCCTGCTATCAGCTGTGCTGGGGGTCAGCACCAGGAAGGAGTCTGAGTGACACACCACCCCAAACCTGTCTCCAGCCCTGCTGGGGTAAGAATCAGGCCGGCCTCAATCCTGCAGGTGGGGGAAGGCTGACTGACTCCTGTATCTACCAGCACATATGGACCTCTAGCTGATACTACCAGGTGAACCTCAGTACAGCTTTTTTCTATTTTTACCTGGCCCATGAAGTTGGGGAGACTAGTACCCCTTGAGTCCATAGTAGCACTGACAGTCACAGCAGGTAAAAGGAGGTAGGATTGGATTTGAGGTGTATGTCCACGGCAGGCAACTGATGTCTCAGCCTCCCACTTTGATTGGGAAAAAGCAGAAAATCCAAGCTCCCCTCGTTATCCTGCAGGCTACTCAAGCCCACAACTGCATTCCTTGAATTCAAGACTGTTTGCCTTTCCCGTCCTTCCTTTTAGTGGCTCTGTCACCAGTTTTGGTGCCCACTAAGCTCTGCCTTGGTCTGGCTCTCCACTACTGTAAGGCCTGAATGTGAAGATGGGCTAGGCAGAAGTTCGTACTGTCTTACCCATTGCCGTTACTGTCTTTCCACACAGATTGCCACTCTTCCCTCCTTCCTGTGGCCTCTCCTTCTCGTTCAGATCTTGCCTGGCCCTGCCTCACTGCCCCTCCTGTGCATCATCTGATTGGAAAGGCAAGCGAAGAAACACCCACCCACTACTCACACTGGCTTTAAGAGGCCTCACTGGGCAGTAATAAAAGGTTTTTGAATTAGTAGTAGTCCTGTTGTTCATTGTTTTTTCTGTTCCTGCTATTTATTTTTATTTTTCCCATGAGTACTCTAGGCCCAATCCTGTATTTAACAATTATAAACAGTGCCCTATCATCTATCTTTATCTATCTATTATCTATCTCTAACATTATCATCATCATCATCAAATTTTTGTATATGTATGTATCCAATAAATGTATTTTTCTATATATCTATATATGTATGTATTTATTTATCTAGTATTTGGGTGTTCAAATGTTCACATATACAATCATGCACACACACACACACACACACACACACACACACACACATGCACACTGATATTACATCATTGCATGTCACCCCTGAGTTCTCCATTGTGTATCTCTAAGGAGCCATTTTTATATAATCACAATACCATATCCATACCTTAGTGAGCTTCCTTTGTATTTTTCATACTCTTTCTGTTTTTACCTGGTCCAAGTGCAGGTTCTTCTTGGGAGGATATTCCAAATCTTCTCAAATCTGTCCCACTTCAGGGAAAGGTCCAGGCTGCAGAGTCTTGAGACGAGTGAAAAAGGAAGAAAATAGGCAATGGAAGCTAAAGAAGGAGATACTCAGAAAGGAGGATGACTCAGTTCCAAATTCTTTCCTTTTTGAAGAGGATGGATAATGATGATTTCAAGAAGCGTGGAGATGAACAAATAGGGACATGTTCTTCGTTTAGTCCCATCTGAGACCAGTACTGACCCATTCAAGTGTGTCATTTTTGTTTTTAAATATTTTGAAGCTGTGCTGCTCAGTAACCAGTGATTAATTCTGTGAGGCTACTTACGTGTAAAGCAAATGAAGTAATGTGAAAAATTCAGCTCCTTGCTTGCACTAGCCACATTTCCAATGCCCAAATCATAAGTAGTTTGTGGTACTATATTGGACAGTGAAGATTACTGTCCAGTATAGTAGAGCATTTCTACCAGTGTGGAAAGTTCTATGAGACAGTACAGCCCAGATGTACTTTGAAGGGTGATAGACCACAGCCTGCTCTGTCCCATGCTTTCTGCTTTCAAGTTGGAGTCCTTGCTGAACACAACTGCCAAATAAATAAATAAATAAGGTTTTATGATCTGCTGATGTGTACAGTGCAGTCTGAGAAGCAGCCATTTATCTTAGCCACAGGATTGACATTGGTGACAGAGAAGGTGTCCCAGCTGAGGCCTCATGGCTGAGCACATTCATGCAAAGGATAGATTTGCCATTTGTGGAGAGGTGGGCATAATATACTGTGTGCGATGTGCATACAAGTGTATTCCTGAACACACACAAGCACACACACACACACACACACACACACACACACACACACACAGAGTCATGCATCTGAGTTTATTTTGTAATATAGGGTCTTGCTATGTAGTTCACACTGGCCTTGAACTCACAGTGATCCTTCTACCTCAGCTTCCCAAATGCTAGGATTACAGGTATGCACCACCACACCCAGCTTGCATATATATTTATGTTGCTGCAGGAAAGGGCTGTCAAAGAGTCCTATCTCTGGAGTAATAGGACTTTATTTCAAGGAGGGTCTCACCATACTGTCTAGATTGACCTTGAACTCCTGGGCTCAAGTGATCCTGTGGTCTCAGTGTTCTGGGTGGCTGGCACTACAGATGGCTACCACCATGGCCAGTATTGGCTGTGGTTAATGCTATTTTGTCTCTGGTATTTTAACCTTTACCTATTATATTTAAAATATTAAATTCTTTTATATATCTTGAAGAGAAATACATTTACAGGAAGGGCCATTTTGCTTTATTCAAACTGAGTCTCTCATTTTCTGGTTTCAGCACTTCTTTCAGTGGATTTACAAACCAGGCACTCACTATGGCATTCAGGCATCCATGCTGGTGTTTGGGAACATTTTAGGAAGCACATGGCTGCTGTTTTAAATAATAATGAGTCAGAAGTGAGAAAATTATTTTATTTCCTATTCTCTTTGAACTCTGATTGCATCAGGAGAAAATCTTACTTTGGTTCATTTGGCTTCTCTTTAACAGTTGTTAATCTCTTATGCTAACGAAGGGAAGGGGAGCTGAGCCCTGGGCAAAGTGGGGAAACCAAATGAGGATTTGATATCATTATTTTATTTTCATAGTCACTTTTCTATGGCAAGTGATTGTAGTTTTCTGCTTTGTGATGTTAATATAATATTCTTTAATAATTTTAAATTTTATTAATACCTTTGCAATTAGTACAGTTTACAATCATCTTGGAGGGCCATAACATGTCTACATTATGTTTGTTTCTTGTTTTTGAGTTCTCTTTTCCTCCTCCATCCCCTCCCCTTCCAGTTTCCCCATGCCCTTTTATTGTGCTGCTTGTTGATATTATTTGTCTAAGCTCATATTATGCCATATTGTGTTTACATTAATTGGGGTTATTAGGTTCCTGTACATGGCACATGTCTATTCCTCTCATTTCCCCTTCCCCTCCTCCTGCTCACCTGTTGCCCTTGATATTAATAAAATATTATTTTCTAAATTAATGTCTTTAAGAGTCTAGCTCAGTGAAAACATTAATAGGGCAAAGCAGAGGCAAAAACCATATAGACAGTGACAGAAGGACAGACATTATTGGAAACCCTTTTTTGACAGAAAGAATGGTGGATATAAAAATCAGAATATCTAAGTTACAGGTTTAGGTCTGCTGTGCTTAATCATGGGAATGGAGGTGAATGAATCACTTGGGCTCTCTGTACAAAGTGAGAAATAGTGTAAGAAGTAACGTCTTGCCCATTTTCCTGGATCAAAAGTAGTACTATGAAAAAGAAGTTTGATAAACTGCAGTAGAAGGAGGTGAGAGTGGGGTACACAGGAATAAGGTGTTATTACCACCATTCTTTGCTCCTGTGATTAAAACCTTCATTTGTTCTAAGCCAAAAGAACATATAAATTCTATGTGGATTCTGAATTCTTCAGGAAAGGCTGGATTCTCATGTAGCCACTGAAAACTTAAGCAATTCTGGGAGAATTGGAAAACTGGTTGCCACTTGGTCTCCCTTCTCCTGGACAGAAATTACAGTTGCCTGGAAACACAGTGACTACTCGCAGGCAGATCTGTACTCTCTACTGAGTCAAATGAACACAAAGCACTTGGGGGAGGCCTGTTGGCATGTATTGTTGCTTAAAACAGGTGTTTTGCTAAACTGGGTAGGAAAAGTTGTATAACAGATATTCTTCTCTTGAATCTTCACTCTGGGGGTTCCTGTGTTGTTTTGTGCAGTTATTTTTCTTGTAGGATTTGGAGTTTTGCAGGTGGAGTCCCATTGATCTGGAGAGGGAAGAGGAAACAGGAACCTTTATCAATCAGTCATTGCTGATTCCTGGCTTTTAGGAGACACTGGGCAAGAGCCCAGGGAGGAGAGGATACATAATGACTTGTCTCATTGACAGGAATAAACGGTAGGCATATGTGGAGTTAATTCATTGGAAAAGGCAAGAAGAATTATTTTTCTAATGGTTCAAAAAATCCCTCCCATCAGAGTTCAGAGGAAGAGTGTAGTCAACAGGAAAGATGGTTTAGTAAGAATTTGTCATTTTGTCTTGCTTTGATTTGTTCTGGAGCTGAGGATTGAACCGAGGGCCTCATACATGCTAAATGAATGTTGTACCGCTGAGCTACATCGCCCAGGACCTAACTCTACTACTAAGCTATTGCCCAGTTCTGGTTTACTAAGAACTGAGCTAGATTAAAGAAGACTTCAGATAGAATGAGAATGTTTTAGATGCCTCCTTTCACCAGGCATTTGATGTTTATTTTCTTGTGTAAGCTTCACAACAATTTTACAAGGTCAGTACAACATTCCTATTTCACAGACAAGAAACAGGCTTTGAAAAGCTTACTTGCCCAAGGCCAAAGAACAAAGTTTAACTGATGAAAACCCAAGTAAACCTCAGGTTTTAATCTAGAAATACTCTCTTAGCCACTATAATATACTGTCTACTGGAATGTCAGGCTTAAAAAGAACTTGGGAAATTTAGTTCAATTCAAACTGTTTATGAAATAGATAAGAACATTGAAGTGCAGTGGAATTTCATTTTATTTTTCTGTTTGGTTATAGTAACAAGTTTGTGTAGAAGACTGTAGAAAATGGAAAGAAAGAGTAAACATTTAATGAGGGTCTATATTTAGAATCAGATTGACATTTAGCCTTCATAATCTGTGGAGTAGTTTTTGTTTCTATTTTTCAGATTAGGGAACCAAGGTCTTGAAACATGAAAGCAATTTTTCTAAGGTCACTAGATCTACTTTATTAGCTCACTAGCTCTTGAATCCAAGTGTACCTGATATTTGGATTGAATTGTTTCCTACAATATCTTGGTGACTTTCCAAGGTAGGAAAGTGAGGTCAAATGGAAAAGGACAGGACAAAGAGCGAAAGATCAGTGACCTGCCCTGAAGAGTTGCCAACAGGGAAGAAACATGCTATAAAGGTAAACCTGCCAGCCATGGTGGTTCATGCTTGTAATCCCAGCATTTCAGAGGCTGAGACAGGAGGGTTGCTGTGATTCTGAGGCTAGCCACTACATGGTGAGTTCAAGGTCAGCCTACATAGCGAGATCTTGTCTCAAAAAAAAAAAAGTAAATTTAGTGTGGAGAGGAGATTGAATAGTGTCAGATCTGGAGGCAGAAACTGCTGCTGAAAGCAGGTAGGGTTTTGATGAAAAACTTTGAACAGAAACGATGCTTAGTTTTTGTTCTGTTTTGTTTTGAGACATGTTATTGCTAGGCATTTTAGGCTGGCCTTGAACTCACATTTTAGGCTGGCTCTGAACTAATATCCTGAGTGCTGGAATTACAGGCGTGTGCCATCATGGCTGGCAGCAATGGTAATTATGAAGGAGCAAGCACTCAAGATTGCTAAGGTAGTACCAGACGTGTAAAGTTTGACAAAGAGAACAAAAGGGAGGATGGAGAGATAGCACTGAGGTTTTAAGTCTGAGAATCTGGGAAAATGAAAATTC